TAGAGGCATTAATTTTTCGAAATAAAAATAGTACTCCAGTGTTTTCCGAAACGCGTTATTTTTCGAATTTTACCTGCAATTTGCTACAAATATAATTACTCTTGTACTTTTGTCCTAGAGTGCAATGTTTTGGTAAAAAAGTTCCTTTGAGAGCTCAGTCGCAATCTAAGGATTGTCAACAAAATGTTGTTGTACCTAACGTCACATTGAAAAATGCAATCGTACATGAACAAAATTTTTTGGAAATGGATACTGAAATGAGCCAACCGAAACATTACTTAGGAAACGTTTTTACCTTGCTCTATTAATAGTATTTTTTACGTTTTTTCATTTTAGTTTCACAAGATTTTATTAAGATTGCTCAGCATGCTCCAAAAAGTCTTTGAACATAAATTAATTGAATCATCTCAAATATATTTCGATAGGATCAATATATGGGCAATGATACATATATATATATACTTATATATACAGGGTGTTTCAGTTTATTGTTGCATAACTTAATATTCGATAGAACTTTTAAAATTAATGCATAAAGTCAATATAAACATGGATCGAAAAATGCGTGGCTTCCGAAATACAAGGTGTTTAAATTTACTTTCTAAAATAGTTGTTTTTGAATATTTCGAACAATATTTGATGTATAACAGTGAAAATTGGTACACGAGGGTTTTTTTGGTACGACAAAACGAACCATGGGCATAGTTTTACTGTAGCCGCTAGAGGGCGCTCTCTACTGTACCTGTAGTGTATTAAAATGACCGAAAATTTTTTCTTAGTGCAATTTTTTGCTTTTCAACATAAAAAAGCTCTCTTGTGAATTTTCGTTATAGTTAGCCGTTTTTGTGGTATTTCGATTTTTAAGGTTCTATGCATTTTTAATTATTTATGATAAAATAACGTTAAAGTAGGCTGTGCCTGCAAATATTTTTGAAATTGAAAGCAGAATAAGGTTAAACGTCAATTAGTTGACAGTTAGTTTTGTTGTGTGCTAAAACCTGAAACGTTTTTTTGCAATTGTGAATGCACGAAATTTTAGCTTCTTTTACCTGTTTTTTTTTGTAAGTTTTATAAAAATGCCATTTTTATTCTCCAATCAAGAGTTAGCGGATATTCATTTTGTGTATGGCTTTGTAAATGGAAACGCACCTGTAGCAGCCAGAGAATACGCACGAAGATTTCCAAACAGACGACATCCAACTCGCTCAGTATTTGTAAGAGTGCATCGCCAAATAATTGAAAATGGTTTTGGAAATCTCCAAAGAGATCAAAACATAAATGTTCGTCAGCGCAGATTTACCCGTATGATTCTGCGTGAGTTTGATAGAGATCCGACCACAAGTATTAGGAGAGCTTCTGGTGCCTTGGGAATTTCAGCAAGCCATGTTCACCGTGTTCTTAGAAATGACCATAGACGTCCTTACCATTTGCAACCTGTGCAAGGACTACAGCCAGGGGACGGAGAACGAAGAATCACATTTTGTCAGTAGATTCTTGATAGAACTGATAATAATAGGGAGTTTTTAAGTAACGTTTTATGGACCGATGAGTCATGCTTCACTAGACGTGGAGTGGTAAATTTTCATAATCAACATATTTGGTCGCATAAAAAATCCGCATGCAGTTCGAGAAAGAAATTTTCAGCATGAATTTAGTGTGAACGTGTGGATTGGTATCTACCGTAATCGACTATTTGGACCCTACCTTTTGCCTGCAAGGTTAAACGCTGCGACCTTCTTGGAATTTTTAAAGGCTGAACATGCAAATATGTGGGATGCTGTTATGTTAGATTTAAGAAGATTGGCCTGGTTCCAGCTTGATGGTTGTCCAAGAGAATAGTTAGAAACTTGCTGGACGAAAATTATGCAGAAAGATGGATCGGCCGTGGAGGACCAGTCGCCTGGCCTCCACGATCCCCTGACCTAAATCTATTAGATTTCTTTGTGCGGGGATTTCTAAAAGAAAAAGTGTACCAGACTCTAGACTCCCGTAACCACAAGAGATATGCTAATAGACAGAATCAGGAATGCATGTGATGAAATAAGGCCTTATTTGAATAATGCTATACCACGTTCGATCATTCGTAGATGTGAATTGTGTATTGAACAATTGAGTTTACATTTCGAGCAACTACTTTAGATAATGTATGTTTGTCCTAACTATCCAAAAGTATTTTAGTTGTAAATAATTAATTTAATTTGTTAAAAATAATATTGGCAAATTAAACAAATTAATACTCTAAACGACCATCTTAATTACTTGTAATGCCCAAATCGAAAATGTAAAAAAAAAAATATTATTTTCCCATAAATAGTTAAAAATGCGTCGAACCTTAAAAATCGAAATATCTCAAAAACGGCTAACTATAACGAAAACTCGCAGGAGAGCTTTTTTATGTTGAAAAGTGCGAAGAATCAGTTTTTTATAGCGGCTACAGTAAAACTATGCCCATGGTTCGTTTTATCGTACCAAAAAACTCTTGTATACCAATTTTCACTGTTATACATCAAATATTGTTCGAAATATTTAAAAAAAACTATTTTAGAAAGTAAATTTAAACACCCTGTATTTCGACCCATGTTTATATAGACGTTATGCATTAATTTTAAAAGATCTATCGAATATTAAAGTTATGCAACAATAAACTGAAACACCCTGTATATATAGGTATATACCTGTATATTGGCTCCTTATACAGTTGTATACTCAACTTCTCCCATTGCCCAACCTATATGCAGGACAGACCATGACATGCAATGCAAAAATATAGTTACATCCATATACAAAGCTTGGAAACATGGTGTGTTACCAGAAGGCGGAAATTGAAATGCGAAAATATTTCACACCTGTTCATTACACTTTGTTACAGCTAACGTTGTAAAAATAAATTTGCAAGTTTTATGTTCATTAGATTTATGCCAGTACGCCCAGTATTTCCTTTGGAAGATAATTGATATGTTAGCGCCTCAAAAATACGTTTACGCTTAAACTTCGTCATTTGCAGCCTGCATTGGATGTCCCGTCAACTCATGATTCTGCTGTAAATTCAATTGTGCAATTTTAAAAAAGTTAATAAATAAACTCTGATATATTTTTAGAGTAGTAAATGGTTTACCAATTTTGACTTTTATATTATTTGTTGTTTTAGTAGGTATAGTAGACGACAACGCTTTTAGACTCGTATACATTTTTGCCGATAGTCATAAAACGTTATGGTAGTCATTATTGAAATGGGTAATAGGGGTGGTCAAAACAAGTCAAAAAGTTCATATGACCCATGGTCCAAAAGTCAATAGAGTTTTGTCTAAATGACTTTATAGTTTACAGCTTTAAGTGCTTTATATCGACCACGATCACCACAATCTTACTAATTTTTATAATCTAATCTAAAACGTTTTCAAATTGGGTAATTAACAAATAAATGGCATTCAGTTTTTCTAAGTTAAGACAAAATTTGTAGTCAGTAAGTAAGTTTCATTAAATTGGATATTTAAAACACACATGACAACAGCGCGTCGGTCATCATCACTCTTATCGAACCTGCAATCGATCGCAAACGGTAACAGTGGTATGTTGTTTTGCTTTTTTCGCGTACGTCGAAAAAAATTGTAATGGACAACTTCGAGGACCTAGAGTAAGAAGAAACTGGGTTCGTCGTAATAAAGCTTGTGTGGAGAGTGTAGGACGACATTTTGAACACCTTCTTTAAATACAAAAAAAGTGCAGTGTGGGTTTTAAAAAGAGAAACAATGTATGTATCAAAATTGTGTTCCCTATTTATAAGTGGATTTTTTTAATAAGCTTTCACACACCAGGTGAAGCGCTGAGAAAGTTAGTGGTAAGTCCGTTTTTTTTAATTGTTTGCATTTTACGAGTACATTATCAAATAATGAAATAATACCTAAGAGCCAAAAATAACAAACCCCATCTTTATTTACACTGCGTTCCGTGGTAATTTGCGTCGGGCATTGCGGCGTTGTCAGATTTTATTTTACTTTAAAGTCTCTTTTCTCTAAAAAAATGCCATTTTGACCCCCATGTTATATGAAACTTTTTGCTTATTTTAACCCCCTCTATCACCCATTTAAATAATGACTATCATAATGTTTACACCCTGTAAAACCGAGAACTGGAGGCATGAGAACAGAGACGGATCTAAAAATTTTAGAACATTCTCTCTTGCAAGTCTGGATGAGACGAGAGATGACTGAAGCTGTTGAATAACGTTGATTGTTATAGGTTTCAAATCTCTGAAATGTCCGCAGGGAACAACTCTCCCCTCTTTCCATCAACTCTCGACGTACCATCTCTACTGTGGGAATTTCACTACAATTATAATGATCATACGCTGTTCTTTATTTTGGCAGTTGTTGCTGCACTCAAAGGTATAGATGTCCCCTTGTCAATTCTTCTTTTTCTTGGTTACGAATAATTTTACAAATTGTAGGATATGGCACGTTAGTCAGTTCGGCTGTTTTTTTTAAGGATACTACTATTGCCGCCTTGACCCATTTCACGTAACAGGCCATTATAAACATTAATGCAAATCTGTTGAGCATCGACAGACAGGCACATTCTGCCCTCGTTACTACGATCAGTATCATGACACTGACACTGACAGTATCGCTGTTCGAAAAGTTCCCATCATGCATCTCGCCTTTGCACATATAATTTTCGATGTCCGTCGGCCGCTGACCTGCCTGAGCAGATCGCTCCCAAGGGCGGAAAAAATTCGTATCGCACATAATTATTATTCAAGATGTAGTCCGTCAACCTCGATTGTCGCACAATGAACTGTCAACACTGATGGAACAGGCGTAACGCGAATTCATTGCGGCTAGAATGAGAAACGAGAAGGATAGCGCTAGTCAGGGCAGAACATCGTGGTCCATTGTGGTATTTCCATATATGTTCTAAAGATTTTTGGTGAATGTTTGTTTTTAGTGACGTTAAAGATTAATAGTAATAGTTTGCGACAATTATTATTAACATTTTTTTAGGATACCTAGAGATCCTAACATGAGGAAGTTGTGGTTACATGCTATAAGAAGAGAAAACTTTACTCCCAGTACAGCAACGGTAATTTGTGAAAAGCATTTCACTCCAGAGGATTATGACACTAACTTCATAATCCTCTAATTCATGGAAATAAGGTACTAAAAAAGGTGGCAGTTGGTGTTTGATTTTCCAGCCTATCTCAAGAAAGAACCTAGCCATCGAACTGTTTTGAAAAGAAGACATGAAGAATCCAACTCAAAAGCAACAGGTATGTTCGTTAAAATATTCCCAGTCTAGGCTTAAGGATTTAACTTTTCTACTTTTAAAAAAGATATTTACAATGATGAAGTGGGTCTTAGTAACGTAATTATTTTTAGAACAAACTTTGGCTATTGGTGAAGTAGTAGAAGAACCTGAAAATGGTGATCATGCTGATGATGGAAATATATTGGCAGCTGGTCCGTCAAACATAACACAAAAACTAGGATTTTTAGAATCAAGTAAACCTTCAAACATATGCAATTTTAGGTAATTCTCATTGAACTTTGTGTTTCTCATTTGTTACAACCTCTTTTTGTTTGTAGGGTCAGAAGATCACCAGTATACTTTGGGGATTTCAAAATTTCTGATTTAAATAATGTGCAGCGTCAGAAGAGGAAATCTGCTCATGAAACTGTTCATAAGTACAAAAAAATTAACAAGTACAATCAGTGTAAAATTCGTAGACAAAGAAATAAAATAAAAAGTCTGAATAGTCTGGCAGATGCACTACTTAAGGAGAAGAGAATATCTGCAGCTCAGTCAATAGTATTACCTGAATTATTAATTACTTATGTTAAATACTAATTATTATATCTTCAAATGTGTAAAGGAGAATTTATTGTCAAGTTTCATACATTATGTATATATATAAATAAATAAACTTGGTTTTTTAATTATAATTACGTTTCCAGGATTTTATCTCGTTCCAGTTGCCTGAATAACTTTTAAATCTTCTCTAAGAATCCTCGGTTTCCTATGCAATTCATTCAAGTCTGCGCGCTTTTTGCCCTGACTAGCTCCATCTCTCTCTCGGGCCTCTTTGTCGTATGTTGGCGCATTATCGTTTCATTATACAAATGGGACGGGGCGATTCCATCAGTGTTGATACTTCATTGTTGTCGCATACAACTGAAAATATATTCCCGAGTACTACTCTGTTGCATCGCGCTGATTCACCTGCTTGCGGCGCTCGGGAGGAGCGTGGACGGGTTCAGGTCTGCATAGCGCAGTCACATTATGTGAACTTGTTGCTATGACAGTAGCGAAACAATGCGATTTTTTAGATTCGCTACACTCAAACCAATTGTATCGAACTATTAGGGCTCCTTAGGTTATTGCACATTGCTCAAATGTATAATTTATGCAGATGATCCAGATTACATTATTATTTATACCATAGATATCATATATGACCATACTACATGGCGAGTGGGTAACACAAGGAAGAAGCAAAAATATAAACGAATCTAAAAGCGTTGTCGTCTGCTATAACAAACATATGAATCCAGTTATCTCCATCAGGGAATTTCTGACTACCAGGTTTATGTTCATTAGATTTATGCCAGTATGCCTTCCAAACCTAAGGGATACGTCAGCACAATTTTTCACATACCTACATTCATGGTGCATACAAGGTCTGTAATGGGACTGGTAACGTTGCGTTCGATCTGGCAACACTGGTGGCTTGGAGGGGAGACAAGGGAACATGTAATCCGCCTTCAGTTACAACTTTGAACTCGTCCGTAGTGACCCTTTTTAGTGTAACATTTTTTTCTATTGTATTCTAAAGATGAGTGACATCAGGTTCTAGCAACGGTGTGCTATCAGGTTTTGCTTCTGACTTGTGCACAGTGCAGCGGAAACTTTTTCTAAACTTCAGCAGGTCTTCGGAGATAGCGTTTTGTTAGGAGCTTAGGTATCGGTGGTTTAAGGCACTTCCAGAAGGGAGAGAGTCGATTGAAGATGAACTACGAAGCGGAAGATGCACTTCAAGAACCGATGAAAATATCGACAGATTCGTAGATCTTGTGCGTTCAGATGGTCGGTTGACAGTCAGAATGATCGGGGAAGACTTAAATTCGACTCACACCACCGTTCATCAGATTTTCACCAGTGATTTGGGGATGAGAAATATCTGCGCAAAAATGGTTCCAAAAAATCATTCGCAAGATCAAAGAGATATCAGGAAGAAAATGTGCCTTGACTTCTAGATCCGATTGAACCCCCATTTTCTGGAACCTGTGATTACTGGTGATGAGACTTGGGTGTAGGAGTACGACCCAGAAACCAAGCGACAGAGCATGTTATGGCACACTTCAACCTCTCCAAGGCCCAAAAAAGCTATCAAGACGAAGTCGAAGATCAAATGCAAGCTGGTTTGATTTTTAGATATCCACGGAATCGTTCACAAAGATTTTCTACCTCAATCCCAAATGGTCAATCAACACTTTTACCGGAAGGATCTTGAAAAAAAGGGTCATTCGTGTGAGACCAAACATCAACGCATCACGATAATGCTCCTTGTCCCTCAGCAATGTCAATAAACGAGTTTTTGGCCAGTAAAAATATTCCTGTGGCTTCTCAGTCTCCTTATTCGCCAAACTTGAGTTCCCGAAGTCGAAAGAACATCTCATCTCATTTTGGAATAGTCGAAAACATTCAAACGTCTGTAACCGACCAACTGAAGGCTATTCCAGTATTCAGTTCTAACTCGGCTATGAGGAGTGAGAGAACCGTCTCCAGCGCTGTGTAGCTTCGAAAGGAAGTTATTTTGAGGGTGACAATATAAAATTGTAATTGTAATTATATTTGAATATAAAAAATAGAAAAATCTGTCTCATTATCTAATTCCACCACTTTACTTATAATAGAAAGCAGAAGTTTAGGTCTTCAGTTGTAAGTGTCGATCTTAGACCTTTTTTTGGGAAGATATCAGAAAGAACTGGAGCAAGCTTCGATGTACATCTTTTCAATTCAACAATTGGATCGTGTTTTCGTGATATAAATGCAAAATTTCTCAAAAGAATATCTCCCTCAGATGTAACATCCTTTATACATGAACTTCTTGAATATTTCAATGGATGTCAGCCATACGGAAAATCGAAAACTTTTAACTTCACGTCGTAGATAAGAGTGTACGCTCTCAACATGCAAAACTAGTCAAAACTTTGCGGAAATTCAGTAGATGCCGTATAGAAATTGCATCAACGTATGGTTACCAAAAGGGTTAAGATATATTGGGATTTATTTGTTAAGTGGAGTCTAGTGGGTTTATTATTTCGAATATTTTATGTACCGTTAAAAGTGTGTATTCAATAGTTACAGAAATGTTGAGTCTTTTATTGAGATTATTCGTTATATAAACGATTATTTTGATTTAGTTAGTTGTATTATATTTCTAGATATTCACTGTTAGGCTGTGGCTACTGAAGAAAGACTCCTATTAATCGTATAAGGCCACAAAAGTCATTCATCGATATAGTAGTTATTGAAAGATTTAAAATGCATCAAAAAGCGTCCAATATGACTAATTCAACATTTGTGGTTTGATTTACTGGTCAGGCGTATATGCAGATGGAACAGAATTAGTTTTTATATAATTATCCAGTAATGCCAAGTACCAACGAGAGGTAGAACGATCAATGCTTTTTGCCGCATCACCGTCGCAAAAATAAACTCAAAGTGACACCGATTTTTGCATATATTTTGGGTTAGGTAGCATGGCAAATTACTTTTTTTTTTCAAAAAACCATAGAGATTATAGCAATGCTTGCCCTTTTGAATTTTGCTGAGTCTGCTCGAATATATATTTCTTTCGATGAGATATGGCAGTTTAAAGTTGTCGTTTGTTTGAATATCACTATATTTTTGATACTCTACACGTTACCATTACGTGTGCATCAAAGTTATGATTTGGATTACAAGAAACCAAAAATTAAATATCAATTAAGCAAGCCAAAAAATCAAAAACACTAAATCCAAGAAATATGTAAAACTTACTTAAACCGGATGCCCACAACCCACCCTACCCTTATTAAGGTCCATTTTAATGTTCTTGCTTTCGATTGCGCACTTTTTCAAAAATAAAAATTACTTTCTTCTGATAAAAGCTCAACCGATTTAGACCAGAACAATGAAAACTTCAAAGTGCCCTAGCTCAAAAAAATGATATTCAAGGCAGACTAAACGGCATTTGAAAGAGTAAGGCTTGTTTCTACTTTTTGATGATATCTGAGATTTTTTAGAAAAAAATAATTCGTCATGCTGCATAACCTTAAATAGAGGAAATGAACTAAATTTGAGACAAGCGCGTAATTTGAGACAGTGGTGTAACTTTGTATCAGCATCTTCTAGTAATACCAAAAAGTTGTGAACTAAGATTACACAGTAGTAGTATGTGTTTGCTGTGACATCACAACTTGTTACTTCTCGAGAGTTAAAGATATTTTTAATAGTGCGAGAAAAGTGATTCCTAAAATTAAGGTAGGTTACTTTACCAATTTACCAATACTCTTTGTCTGTAAAAAAATATATTTAATATTATTTTTTTATTTTAGAGTATGCTAGGAGTATCAAATCACAAGTTTATTTAGAAATATATGCTCGTTTAAAATAAGTACTTTATTTTTCCGTTTCAAAAAAAGTATCTCAAATTTGGTTCCTTTCCTCTATACATAGTAATGATAGCTATTTATTATACAAGGGAAAACGTACTACCGAAAGCTAAAACCTAGTATTTTTCCCGTGGATAATACACAATTTTTTTCTGAGGAAAGCGACGATTTAATATTGAAAAATTATATTATCACAATATTTAAGTCAGAAAATTATCGATGTGAAATTTGAATTTTGACATTAGTAGGCTATGTTGTACTTATAGCGTCAATTAGACCTGCGTTGCTAAGGAAACTTTTAAAGTAATCAAATAGCTGTCAATCTTATTTTGTGATTGGATTTAAAAGTTGTGAACTTAGTGGTTGTTTACAAGTTATTTTCAATACTATAAAATAAAAACTGTCTGATTCTGAGTCTTCTTTGACACCACCGGAATTAGTGGAGGTAGCCAAAGTAGCGTCACAAAAATTATTGCCAGCTAAATTGTTTATACAAAATCCGGGAAAAAAATTACCGAGGAAAAAGTAATTTCATAAAAGGTGACATGTTTTTACCTGTCCACAGAGATAAACTGTCAAACTTTTTTCCCATCACAGAAAAAATCCCTTTTTTCCACTATTAGGTTAGTATTTCTCCAAAACTAGAGCCAATTCATGGATTTGTATTCAGCGCATCAAAAGCCTTCGGAAAAGTATACGCTGATTTCTGGGTAAGAATAATATTAGATATAAGTGTATGTTTTGAAAATCATGCTTTAAGTAAGCTTTTAAAATTACAATATCGCTCATTGCTTCTTTATACTACCTTGCTTTATAGAATCCTAAAATACAAATCCCCTAGGTATTTCTTTAGTGAAACGGTCATTACTTCGACAGGTATTACTATACAATGATAAGTGTTACATTCTAAATTTAAAAAATGTTTCTCCACTACTCACACTGTGTAGGCTAAGTAGACGAAGGGAACGGAGGATGACCGCTTTCTGCATTCTTTCGGCTAAGATGCTTGCCGATGCTCGGCATACCGATATGGATTTAATTGCAGATAGCAGTGTATTCCATATCCCACCCAAGGATCCAATGACCATGACTACCAGACTGAGAATGAGGTCTGGCTAGAGCTTGCGAAGCTGATTGAGGAGCTGCTGATATTTGGTTCCATTCTTCCTCCTCCTTCGAGACGATGTTCAATTCAGCCGGAGCCGAAAATTCAATAACGTTCCGTTCATGGTCGAGAAGGACTATGTCGGGCTTATTCGCCTGCACCAGCTCGACCGTAGGGAACGAGTAATTTTAGTAAATCTGGACTCAATTCCCCATGAAGCCTAGGGCAGCACAGGTGTTTCATCTATACCGTAGGCAGGAGTGCCTCAAATGGTAGTATAGCACTTGACAAGAGATGCAAAAGCGTCTCTGCCGCTTGTCGACATGCTCTCCAGTTGGCATCGGGTACATCCGCACCCATAACCTTATTATTATTATATGTATATGACTATTGGATGGAGCCGGGTAATGAGTAGATAACGAGTCGGGTTACACGTCCACACGGCTTAATGGGATATTATTCAGGCAGATTCTCAAAGATTCTTGTCTATTTGTAATCTCCTGTTTTTCAGGTAAATCTGATATGTAAATCACGAGTCTGATGTTCAGTTTTCCGCCAAGATCTATGAGATGCCTTTCCCTACTTTATATAAAGCTTCGCCATACGATTGTCTGATGGCCATACTCAAAATCAGCCTACCAAATTACTCGTATATAGGAGAGACCGGGGATAGTTGACTGGTTTTTCACATCATACATATTTTTTGTGCTTTTATACATACAGACAAAAAACTGGATCAATGGATAGAAGAACTATTGTACTTATAAAAAAATATAAAAAAACATTGTTCAATATAATGATCATAATTTAACGCATTTTATAGAACACCAATTCTTAGTCAATTTACCCCGGCTCCGAGGTAGATTGACTACAGGCCCGGGGTAATTAGATAACTGACAAATTATGAGAAGAGTCAAGTTATGAAACTTTTGTATAATTTAACAAAACTTTTTAATCAAAAACAATTTTAATCAGTTACAGACATTATCTTACAATAAGACTTTAACAAAACTATAAACTCCTAGTTTTTATTTAAACATTTATTAGTTTCATTAATTAAACAGTTCCTTTATATCGAATAATATAAGTCTTCAATATCAGAAGCGCAATGTTTGTATTAAAAAAACATTAGGTCACCTCTTACACATTTGGGATGAGCCCATAACTTACAAGTTATGCACTGAATCCATTGTTCGCCTGGAACACTATCGACGTAGGATTCAGTGCACTCTAAACAAATCGTATTCTCGTCATCTGAATCTACAGCATTACCGTCATTTTCATCGACGGTGTCATCAGCGATCTCATCAACTTTATCCGTTCCATATCCTTTACCTTTTCCTTTGCCCTTTCCTTTTCCTTTCCCCTTCCCTTTTCCTTTTTCTACTCTGTCCTTTGTATCTGTTTTTTTCTTCTTATATGTTTCTCTTTTGTTTTTCATATCTAAAAGATTTAGTTTTTCCGGGGTGTCGGTATATATAGTACTTTTACTTTCCGAATATTTCTTCTATTTTCTAAAAGTGGCGCCGCTTTTGGAAAGTGTCTTAGCTCTTCAAATGTTGCTGATGAAGTTGAGGAAAGGTTTAGATTGTGTAAAGATGGGTGCACATTTGCTTCTGTAGAATGAACGTTTTCTGGTGTTTTGAGGTTTTCTCTCAGTTCGGTTTCAAATACAGAATTGAATGTTTCGTCAAAAATAGAAGGTGGCTCACATTCAGTCCTCAAAGATCTTGTAGGAGAGGGTGTTGTGGTAGGAATCTGGTCTGTATTTACAGATAAACATTGCGGTGCCAGAGAGTGAGTTTCAGTTAGTGTATGGTGATCAGGAACTGGAACCTCTTCGACGATAGACAACCTGTTAGATACATCGGAAGTCGATAGAACAGACACTGTTCTCACATCGCATGTTGAAGGATTATCACCATCAGGGGAAGTGAGCATCGGCCTATCTGACACATAAGAACCATTGAACTAGGAGTCAGGAAAAATGTTTCCATTCAATGGTGAAATCCCGGATGCTCCGAATCCTGATTGAATATTTCCAATTGTAGCAGCCAATGGTAGTGACGTTTTAACCAGCTCCGGTATTTCAAAAATTGTGATAGTCTTTCCCGGGTTACTAGCCAGCCAGTTGTCATATGCTCGGTTGAAATACTTCTTCAATGGTCCGTACACAGATCTGTCAAGAGGTTGTAGCTTGTGGATACAATGTGGAGGGAATGATAAAAAGTAGTTTTAAAGTAATCCAACGCTTCAATTGATAAGTGAGAGTCATGGTTATCCAACAACAAAAGTACAGGTTTTTCTTTACTAGGTTTAACATGTTTCACGAAATGTTTGGCGTACGTCATGAAGTTCTCTTCTTTCATCCAGCCAGACGAATTAGCATCACCTTCACATCCTATAGGGCCACCTCTAACAAAATGGGACTTATAATGGACGCGTGGGAATACGAGAAATGGTGGAACTGTATCTCCTACAGCTAAAACAGCTACTGCAACTGTCACCAGTGTACCCCTCTCAGCAGATGTCATCTTGCCTAGATTTTTAACACCACGTCGTGCTATTACTGTATTAGGTACTTGCACGGTTGTCATGCCTGTTTCATCAACGTTCCAGATATCATCAGGGCTTAAATTCAAACGTTGGTAAACAGCAGTTAAATTAGCGAAGAACATACTGACGTTATGTTTGTTTAATGATGTAGCTCTTGAAAGGCTTGTTGCTTGAGGTGTCCTTATGGATAAAGAAGGATGACGTTTGAGAAACGAGTCTAACCAATCTTCGCCAGCTAACAATTTTGTTCTCCAAGAATCAGGCATAGCTTTGTTACTTTTTATGGTGAATTGACATGCTAATTTTCGGGTCTCAGATGGTGTCAATCCATAATAAATATCAGCGGCTTCCTCTAAATAACTTGCTAAAGCTTCTTCTTCTTCGTCAGTTAAAACTTGCGTATTTTTAATATATCCCAGTGTGTCCAAAGTTAGTTCTGCTCTCGTCAAGTTTGGATTACGTCCCAATTTCTCCTTTAGTTTCGTCACATAACGATGTAATGTCTTATAGGGAATGTCATATTATTTTGAAGTTGCATTAATATTTTTTGTGTCAAAAATTATTAGATGACAAGCTCTTTCTAGGACATCTTTTGGTGTATCATCTCGTTCAGTCCTTTTATAGGTCCTCATTGTACTGTAACAAAATGAGTATTAAAACACGAATAAAAGGTTAATTTACGAGATATTTCAAACTTCAAATTATATTGGGGTTGGTTGACTAACTATTCAATCAGCCCCGAAAGAAGTTAGTCTACCAACCCCAGGCGCCATTTTAAGTTTCAATGGCATTGGTTACCTAAACACTGCCATCAACTTAAGAAATAATACATGAAATATTATCAATATGCACTCACGAAACACTTACTAATAGGTAAATGGTTAACATAAAATGTATAAGTGTCAGATGGAAAAATAAACAATATGGAAATATTACTTACATGATACGAAAACAAATCACGTGTCACTGCTCGAAAACGGCGTGCATCTGCGACTGAGCAGGGGTCGGAGAGTAATGCGCGGCTGGGCCGGCATGACGTAATACTCATATCGTTGACGAGTTTTTGGCGGCTAGTCTACCTACCCCTAAAGTCAACCATCCGCGGTCTCCCCTACCAAGTTTCATTTGCCTGAAGCAACAACAGACGAAAATGAAAACTTTTCATTCCGAAACTTGTGGAGTTTAAAAGCATACTATAAGGGAACGTGGGATCCTCTAGAAATTTTCTCGTTATTTCTTAAAAAACAAGGAGATTCATTGAATGTATTGAGGTGGTCTACTTGATTTACTCGACTCCATTTTACCATTTGTAGGAATAAATTCCCGAAGTTACATTGCATGCAATTTGTGATAATATCCCAACGGATCTCTAAAATATGCATATTCCATAAACAGTCCACAATGTTTCTGCTTGACATCACTTGCACTGTTACAACGCAATCAGCATCACCGTACGCTTGCAGGATCGGCGTCAGATACATGAAAAATCACATATATGTCCTACAATACTGAGTTCTTAAATTATAAAAGTGCTCCGTATACGCCCCCAAACAGTGATAACCTCCAGAGCAAAGAAGATATGTTGTAGTTTTCTTTCTGAAAAAAAGAGAGAGAAACAAATTATTAATCTTCGACGTATGCTTATGATCAGAAAAGTTGGCTGCCCATCTGCAGACCTCTGTGATACAAATTATAGTCTAGCTATGAAAAAGCGACGTTAAGTTGGTTGACTCTGCAGTCATCAGAATAATGTTAGTACTTCTGAAAACCGAGTTAGCTAGAAACATGTATGACAAGAAATTAAGTGGATCAAGTCAGTCAAACAGACCCATACAATTAATCCATACAAATTTATCTCCTGCCTCAATAACAATACCGATCATCTGGCAAGGTTGCTGTGACTAATCTCACCACTCGTCAGCCACAGCGGCCATACATTATTTGGGCCGTGACCAAGATCAAATAGCGGAGTTTGGGTGTCTTTTCATTTTCTGTTGCCTCTAGCTCCACCAACACTCGACAGATTTTCAAAAATTATAAAGCTCCTTCGTTCTTGCCATATCAGTAACTTTGTGTGGTAGTTTCATCAAAATTCGAGCTGTAATTTATAAAAAAACATAGACGAGCTAAGGTTCATCGGACAAACAGACAGACCGACTGACAGTTCTTCTCGATTACAATACTTCCTTGCCGGTGGCATGGAACGTAATATTTTGGCCCCAGTTCCTAACAAATTAATGCCTGTCCTGCTCGTCAGCGTATATCTACACACACATATCAAAATAATCCAGTAGCGCAAATACGTACACTTTACGAACTTTATACAAACTGTTTGTTCTGTCAACGTTTCTGTGCTCTAATAGTTTTCACTAAATACCAATAATGATGTGAACTTTCATCGAAAGGACTGAATAGAATCGAAAATGTGTAATTTAATGAAAGCGAGTTACAGTTCATAGGATTTGACCATCCAACAATATTGCTATCGTCTTGCTTTTCAGAATAGCAAAGGGTTCCGTTCGTACAATAAATGAAACCTGAATATATACCAAAATGTTGATGCCATATATAGTGAAACGATAAATATGCTCAGTACCAAAGAAAATAGAACACCCAGTATTTTTTTTAATGAAATTTTGTGTGCAGTTGTGCCGACTAAAAGGGAGCAGTGACTAAAATATGCTAGTACACCCAAATGCCGTACTCTTTCGTATTGTCATCAAGTCATATTTCTGAGAAGGCGATTTACGTCTTCTTGAGGTATCTCGTCCCAAAAGAAACTAAGAAAAGTAGGTCACTTTTCATCCCATCACATCCTATATATGTACATGGTCAATGGGCGAAAGGTCTCGAGATATAGGATGCCAAGGAAGGAGGCTCAGTTAAACGTTATTATTATTCTAGCACTAGCAGTAATCTACGAGTATATACTATTCAACATTCACGACCCCAATTTTCTCGGTCTCAGTTCTGATTTAAGAATACATGATGAACAAGTCAGGAGCTGTCCCTGAAAAATACTTGATACTACAACTAACTTGGGATGGGATAGCTCAATAAGACCCCTTATCAGAGGTATGTCCTCTACATATAAGCTATCAAATGTAATCAAGATCTCATCTGGCTAGGTCTTACTGTATACAAAAAACTGGAGTACGGTCTACCTAGTTTTTCAAGTATCCCCATAAAAAGAAGTTCAGAGGATTTAGATCGGGACCATGGAAGGCCATATAATTGGTCCACCCCTTCCGATCCAGCGTACCTGTTATACCTGATTCAGAAAGTCACGAGCTTCTAAACGAAAATGCGGAGGTGCCCCATCATGCAGAAACCACACTTGTGCTTGGACCGCCAATGGCACATCTTGAAGAAGGACCGGCAAATCATACCGAAGAAATTCCAAATACTAGTGACCATCCATCCGATCTGGCAATATGAGCGTTCCATTTAGACGTTCATCGACAATAGCTGCCCACACGTTTAAAGAAAAACGATGTTGGAAGTGTGTCTGGATCACTGCGAGAGGATTCTCGTAAAAATAGCTTCATAGTGGGCCAAAATATCAGCTGTAAATCCGGTATTTCGAGCATTTTCTTGGAACAACCACTCACAAAATCTTACTCTCTGGGGGTAGTCTGTAGGTAGCAACGCCTGGACTCTCTAGATGTAATAAGGGGCCTCATGTAATATGTGCAACGCTGTTGCATGTGACACTACTGGGACCAGTTGGGCTGACTGCCTTGTGCTTATTCCCGGATTTTCTTCCACAATATCCAAAATTTCATCTTCGGCATTAAAAACGCATTGTATGCGAACTCGACCCCCATCCACTTCACTATGGGGCGCAAATCTCCACTAGCACGTGCATGTAAAATATTTGAACTGAATGTTTCCTGATATGGTATGTGTCTATTCGGAAATCGGTGTGCATACAAACGAGAAGCCGCTCGCAAATTTTGCCCTGCTTCTCCGTACGCTGAAACAATGTCCACTAACTCCTCATTAGTGTACACATGTGCCATTTTTATTATTAAATAACTAAAGATATAAACTCGCAAAATACTTTCTTGTTTAACTTCACGAAAATCGACCGTTCTTCAATCAGATCACCCACGGTACAGATTAAACCTTATTTACACGTTCTTATCAGTATGAAAAACCAAAAATAAATAAATAATTAATGTGTGTTCCAATTTCACGACGATGAACGCAAAATACAGATATTTATTTTTCAATTTATTATTGAAACTCAGATGTATAGCTTAATTTCTATAGGACTTTCATTACATTTCTTTTTGAGATATCAACTGCATAATAGTGCATATGTGGTTAAAATTTGTCGGCATCTCCATTTCTCTTTATAACTATAACAATATTTACAGATGCGACACGAGATCGGTCGGGACGAGGTCAACCTTCATGCGTCAGACTCTGTGTGCATCTAAACTGCATCGTCAGCGTTCTCGATCTGGAGTTATAGTATCATGGCTGGCGCTTATGGCATGATTGACTGGTGTGGTTCAGCAGCGTTGCCAAATGGACGATACTTAGGAATGGTAAGAAACTGGCGTTAGCGTTAACAAATAGGTGGGGACTATGAAATATGGACTAATTGTATGCGCCTTTTTGGCTGACTTGGTCCATTAGATTTATATGTTGTATATGTTTGTAGCTAGCTCAGGGGATTATTTTGTGCCGAACGTAATCCTTCATGAACTGATGACATCGCTGCGTGGGAAGTGCAGAGTCAACCAAGTTGACGCCATTTTTTCTAATGTGTAATCACTCAGATAAGAAAAGTATGAAACGTTGTTCTGTAGATATAAATACGTATTCTAAGTAGGCACTGTACGTGTTATACAATCCCTTTGATAAAAATACGAGGAAATCTTTTTGTGTCACAAACTTTTCTCCTTTGGTTATTTGATATATTACGTAAAATTAAGGTAAAGGCTTCAATTACATATTATGTACTTCCTTGTTTCAATCATACAGTTTGTTGAAAACTCAAACTCGATCGACAGAAAAATCAGTGAGGGTTCAACAATGCTTTTCAGAAAGGTCCATCCACACTCATTTTTTGAACAAGTTAGTTAGCCAGCTGAAATCTAAATTGGTGACAATTTCCAGATGGTGGCTGCGCGTAATTTTTTATTTTTAAATAGAATGGAGTCACCTGATTTTCAAGCTCCTTTTGGGTACTTTATGCCCTTGAATTTAAAATCACTATCTTCCAGAAGGGAGAAGAGGTAAAGTCTCTTATAAATCAACAACAAATCATCAAAACGCTATTAGATGCCATATCAGTCTTCTTCTCTCTGAAGGATCTATCCGAATATGTAATGAAATAATACATAGAATATTCCTTGTTTTTATATATTGAGTCGCGCATAACTGGACAACTAATGATCAAAACGTTATAATATGTTATATTAATTTCCTTCTTTGGAGGGGTCTGTCTGAGACATTCAGCTTAAAAAAATATTGATAGGTTTTGACTTTTTCTTTAAATGGAGTGTCTCATATTTTATTACATATTCGAGTAGACCCTTCTAAGACGAGAAGATTTAGATGACATTTTGATGATTGGTTGTTGACTTATCAGCGACTCAGATAGATACGCAGACAGAATTTTCTCCTCTTTCGATGGACGGTGTCAAAAAGGGGTTTTGTATTTAAAAAAACTGAAGTTGACCTTGAAATAGCCTGGTGGGTGTCAAATCCAGGGTCACAATTGAACTCCTTGTTTAATGTTAGTGGAGACCTGAACTTGAACTTTTTGTATATTCAGAAATACGTTTTCAGTTGATTTTTTGAAAGCATAACTCATCAACATAGCCAAGGCACGGGATCAAAGTTTAATAGCCAATCCACAACTTCGCTGATGACAGCACTCTAGATGCACGAATTCAGAGTGACAAGCCTATCTCTGCCGTACTATACCTTGACGAACAAAAAGCGTCCTGGTGCTCATCCTGATTCGATGGATGACCGAGTTGATCTGGCACGAGCACAACTGGGTTAAGAAGTACTTTTCTCCGCATGACCTTCTCGCTCTATACCATGCCCAGATAAGTCCTAGCCTCGAGTATTGCTCACACGTTTAAGGGTGCTGCCGCCCCCACTACATTATTTATGCTCGATGTTGTCCAAACGAGGGCTGGCCACTGATTGATAACTCTTCTCTAACAGACTGTCTCGGGACCCTTTCGCACCGGATGGCCGTTTGCGATCTAGTTCTCTTCTACCGCTCCTCCTCAGAGCTCTCTTCCATGATGCCACCGCGCGATGTGCCTGCCAGACAGACCCGCCTGACTTTGGCCTCCCAGCCTAACCGTGTCGAACTTCATACACCCAGAACTGGCCGATACGACCGCTCCCTTGTCCCGAGGGTGTCGATATTGTGGAACAATCTATAAGAGGAGGCTTTTCACAACCTTAAGCAGTTCAAAAATTGGATTAACAAAATTTCTTTGAGATCCTCATATGAGCCGCGGTATCCCGGCACTTAGGCTTCAGCCTGCGCGGTTGCTTCGGTATAAAAAAACCCATTTGGTCGAGGACGAGGAGCTAACAGGTGACATTCTATTGAAACAAAAGATTATCTCCAATCATATTTCGTTGGACATCCTTGGATCCGATGCCAGGATTCCTTGGATTTTTTCGGATCTCTCGAAAAATAAAGGTGGCACTGCCACTAATAAGTAGTTCGCGAATCGTGGTACTACCGACCCCTACGTACGGTAGCACAGCTGCCAGGCATCTTTCAATTACAGAGTCCGGTTCTAAGAACCCAGGCAAGGTCGCCTACCACATAAGCGTCCCACCTAAGCACTCACCATACTACTTAGATTGACCTACTACTCAATACTTATATAAACTAAACACAGGCTTTAGTTTATAAATCAGATCCTGTTCACCCAATGTTTGTATCCCCTAGAATCGTAATATCAACTGAAAAATCAGTAAAATTGGCAATAATGGGCTACAATGGCGCAGCAAGTACCGCATGCGCCGATATAGAGGTTGCCGTTGAGCTACTTGGATTACTTCAAATGTCCTTGGATTGCTAAGGGTCTCCTTAGATTACCTTAGATGTCCTTGATTTGCTGAGGGATTGGGATTGGATTGCCTCGGATGTCGTTGATTGCTAGGGGTCTCCTTGGATGACTTCAGATGCCCTTGGGCTGCTAAGGGTCTTCTTGGATTGCCTCAGATGTCTTTGGGTTGTTAAGGCTCTCCTTGGAAATTCTTGGATCTCCTTGAATTTCCTTACACCGAGGTAGAAATTATTTTTCTCCGTGATTACCTTCTCGCGCTAGCGTTTCTGATGTATGGAACCTCTAAATTCTACACTAGTTACTTTTTTTGAAAACTTTTGTTGAATCCCCCCCTTAATAGGGGTAGCCCTAAGGGTTAATGCACGCTCTCTCCAAATTGTTTGTTAGTAAATAATATTTTTTATGATTGTTGTCATTAGAGACAACGTGTATAGTGTACAGTTTCTATTTAACAATGAAAACCTGAAAAATACCGTATGAACTTTTCCACTTAAAACTAACCCAACTCCAGTGGTCAGCGATCACATAACATTTTATAACAGCTTTCTACCTTGTATGTGATAAGAAGATAACGCCGTCGTAGGCGAATCCGAATCCAGTGGGCGTTTTATAAATTATGTAAAAGTATGTCATCGTTTGGCAGTCTTGTTGGAAGAAGTGAGAGTGAAAGAGCCTCGCGAATCCGCTGTTGAAGAAAGAATCGACGGTGAAAGAAAGACGGTGATACGGTGCGTCACGCGTGTTTTTGGGTTTCGGCGGTTTCTAGACCGTCTTACATGTGCCAGGATTTCTATTTGCTACGAATACCGCGCGAAGAGGCGATATGAAGGTAATCACTGTAGAAATAAATAATATTATACTACAAATTAAGACATTAATCCAACCTTTAAAAAGTAACAGAGCCTCATAAAGAGTTATTGCCCAGATATGCGTTGATAATATTCCTGTTAGTGGAAGAAGCCTAAGATATAAACCTGGGAACCCGGTTCTAATGGATGAATTTTTGTGATTTTTTGTGAAATGTGTTGAAACTTTATATTGAGCAGTTTTGATTCCGAATTATTATTACTTTTTTTTAAATTCCGGTTGTTTATGTATGAGATTATTTAGGTTTCTAATATACCAACTGATAGACCGCACTGGACCAAACAAAAAATGTATGTCATCTTATGTGTTTTACTGTCTTTGATGGGATATATACTAATATTATTTTCCGAGCGCGGAATTCCGTTTATCAATCATGTGAGGTTGATTGAGCTGCGGGATTGCAATCCCTAATCTTGACAGGAATAAAAATGTTCACGTCTAAAAAATGTAATCTAACATTAAGCAATAAAAATTTGACAACCTATTGGAGTAAACGTGAAAACCAAACTGCATTAGACCAGGTAGAATCAATCAAAATACCTACAGTCACATCACATCACAATTTCATGTTAATTTGCACGTATTGTCGATAGAGAAGCTTCAATCTCGCCGTGCGCACTGAATTTACATCGGGAATCCGTATTCCTGCAATACAAGGTTATAGCCGGTAATTCCGAAGTTAATTCAACTCCAAAGTTTTCCTAATGCTGCATATGCGTCAGGGATCGTAATGAATTCCAACTGCGATGAGCTCTGTTGATTGCGTTGTTTGCGCGTCGAACTTATGGACCATGCGACAATCGTGTTTTGTATGGAAAAATCAGACAACTGTAGTTTATGGCCTAACTTTGATGAGCGATGTAAAGTTTGATTATCTCGTGGGAAAGTCATGAAATTGTCATATGACAACAGGGTAGCCTGAGCTCTAGTGATAATGACATATTTTAATCAATCATACTGTTCGTGTTTTAGTGCCTAAGCAAAGAGAGTATTGCGATTTTAAGAATTTTACGAGGTAATTCACATTTATAGACGTTCCTCGAGGATTGAGTGCCTTTTGATGAATGATCCCTCCTTGGATTTTTAACAAACAATCATCACACACACACATCCTTTAGGAACCTTCAAAAGAGGACGGAACATTATTTTTATTACACGGAAATTTTTAACAGGTTCTCAAATTTCTTAGGAATGTCAAAGTTTTCGGAATTTCTGAGATTTTGAAAAATTCGAATATTCTGAAAATTTTGGATATTTTAAAAATATTAAAAACATTTTAAGAATCTTGGTAATTTTGTAGTGTAATCGAGCAGTTTTGGAAAATTTTTCGAATAATGAAAACCTGTGATGGCAACTGTTCCAGCGTACTATAAAATGCAAATGCTAAAACTGCCTGATAGGATACGTTAATCAATACGTGACCGTTCCTGAAGTAAACGTTATTGTTTGCTTAAAATCTAATTAGAGATTGTTCCTTAAACGTCACTCAATCCTGAAGTAACGTTTCTCTTTCTTTATATGGAAGCAGTAGCAACCTCTTGAAAAAGTTTGGTACGCCTTCATATAAAGTTGTCTCTTGCCAATGAATGACCCTGGGCGGGCGCACATGATCGCCGCTATGACATCCCGCGTTGATGACGATATTGAAGTTCCACGTACATAGCAGATGTACAGCAGTTGAGCAGCGACTGGCGACTGCGACGCACGACGCACGTACCGACATGAGACTGTTGAGATAGTTTTGAGGGCAATTGGTGAAATATATCTGAAAGATACGTAGAATTTTTGGAATCGGAGGCGTACAAATATGGCAACGTCAAAAAATAAAGATATACCCTCCCCCACCCCCTACAGACCTCAACCCTCAATTGTTTCCGAAAATGATCAGGTGCCTTTGAAAAACGAAGTATGAGCGATTTCTATTTATTCATTCATACCCCGTATCTCCGCCGCCACTGGACCAGTTTAAAAAACTTTCGTCATAGCAGTAACCTTATGTGAAAAATTCGTCCAAATCCGAGCAGTACTGTTCATATTATAACCCGGCCAGTGATTTGCACACAGATTGTCAGACAGACAAACAGATCGACAGGCAGGCCGGATATTTTTTTATTTTTAGTTATAGACCATCATGCATCCCTAAGATTTTAAACAGTATTGTAGGATCTGATAACATTTCTATGATGTAAATAAAATACGTGACATCCAAAAAACATGATATCTGATTTTAAAAATTTTTCGCGTTCATGTTTTCTCGCCAGTTGTCGTAGGTAGTTAAAAGTCGATTACCAGTGCCTTCCTTCTACAAGTGAAAAGATTACTTAACTTTTCCCCTTTTTTGGAAATAATTCGCAAAACTAGATACTTCCGTTGCAAGAACGTCTTAATGATACTCAATTAATATTTCTTAATATTCCGAAAGGAACATTAACAAATACTTGAATAAGATATATTTAAAATATAAATCAATGTAATACAATATAACCCCGAACTTCAGTGAATAATAACAGTATCTCCGGCATTTTATTTTATTTTTCTGTCGTACCGATTTCACAACATTTCCATGAGACATTTGCTTGTGCTTATCGGTGCAACTGCAAAACATATAACTTTCGGGATCCGCCACTTGCAAAATGGAATAATAACCATGTAACCATGCACTATGTGCATAAATAGTCAATCATTATATGAAAATCCCCCTTACGAAACTAATAATCATATTCTTCATTAGTCAGCAGTTTCATTCAAGTAGTTGCGTATGGCCTACGCATCTACGAATTCTATTTGAATAGGAAAATTAACATTTGGAATTCTTTAAACTGGAAGCAAACAGATGCATCTTCCTGAATCTATTAGGAACATCGTAAAAGTAAAACCTCAAAAAATTGGCGTCAAGTAGATTAGCTCTGTACTTCCCATGCATTCGAAACAATCATCATCATTACACTCTATGCATGATGCTCGTATATATAGTTAATATCGCGCTCACCTCGTATATGCATACCGCATCACCTGCTACCTGCTTTTCCTCGCAAGAAATCTAGCACGGGGACATCTATAATCTGTGAAATATATCTAATGGTGCGTAGAATTACCTGTTCGGAAGTACATAAGCAACCCTAACATCAAAAACTAGAGATGCACCCTTCCCCATTCCCATAAAAACGCCACCCTCCAATTTTTTGCCTCTAAAATTTTTTTATAAATAATCAGGAACCTCTGAAACAACAAAAAACAAAGTTTAGGCGCTTTATATTTTTTTGTTCTTGGCATTTTTCTCCGCCTTCGCTGGACCAAAAAGACAATATCTCATTTTCGAAATTTGTTGCAACTACAATACTTCTTGGCCAGTGACGTATGAATTAAAAGCAAAAGAATGCGTATCCTATCAGATATAAACAAGAAAAGACAGAAATGCACTCACAACGTATGGGACAAACGTTTTGACAAAGAGCTTGCCGTGATGTTTCCACCCTATTTTGATTTAGCAGGTAAACAAATCGTGAATTGTTCTCATTAATGTACACCAATATTGCATATTTTCCAAATGAAATAGAATTTAAAGCAAAGGGGAAATTTGCTCGCAAAGTTCTAGGCTGGTGCACGATTTGTGAGGTTGTGGTTTCAGCACCATATGTTGGTCGAGTTCGAGGAGAAGCGGTGGACGCGCTGTATACCCAAAGATGCTCACCAAAACTACTTATCTTTATTACTACCCATCTGTAGAAGGGCGATATAACATTTTGACCTGGCCTCGTTTTGAGCCATTATGCCAGGAGGCTCCCGAATAGTTGGAACTAATAACCATCATGGGCGCCCGTAGAATGGTGCCAGAGAAGGGACCGTGGCATCTCCTGGGAATTCGGTTGAACCTTAAGATTTGCATACTCAGCATGTGTACCAGCTTGGGAATTGCCCCTTTCCCCCCCTCCACCACCGATATGATTTGCTACGCCCCGCTCTTAAAAAAGGTTTTTTCCGCAAAAAGTTATCTCGTCTACAATTGGCCCCTAAGAAAAAGTTTTGCTGCCACCCATGGTAACGTTAATTATCTACCGAAAGGACACAACCCCTCATTTTACCACAAGCTTGGTCAAGCCAAGAATTTTGGTCGTTACTGTGGTGAAAAGCTTCTGACAACGCATGGAAACACCAAAACTAACAATTGTGGAAAATGATCCAATGGAAGACGAGACAAGTCTTCAAATCTTAACCAAGATGTATTGTATTGTACAATTAACCATTAGTAATAAGATTTTAACAAAATTTCGTGATTCCTTTGATCAAGCCTGCTACATACTTTCTCAAAACTTATGTCCCATATGTTATCATAAATTATTCAAGGACCAGTTCCCAGGGACACAGATTTAATACATAATATTCTGCATCCCAAATCCCTAACATTAATTTTCCACCTTTCTTCACTGAATGTCACCGTTAGCGGTCTCTGATACTCTGTTGTGCGGATATGAAAAATGACGTAGCGTAGCAGTCGTAAAAACGAACTACCATTTGTTCTCTTGAGCCGCAAAGAAAAGCTGCATAACTCTGGTATATTAGAGCCTAGATATTTGAGACTTAACAATACGTTTCTTAACATGCGCTTGTGTCGTTGCAAAAATCGAATAGAAAGTATTAGTTAGAACATCGCTTGAATTTCCTTCCTCAGCTCCGCTGACCGTTGAACGCGCAATAGACAGCGTTGCATTATTGATTAAAGAAAAATATCAATAATAACGAAAAGTATGTTTAGCAGCATGCGGCATTTTCTTTTTAATGCTACGCATCGTTTATTTTGAACTTTTATAAATAATTGAGAACTATTATAAGAAGAAAAGTCCAAGCACATTACAAACTCCTAATTGAAAAAGTATGTGGAAGAAGAATCGTTTTTCAAGTCAGTCCCGAGAAAAAATGTGCGGAAGCCTCGAAGTCGTCCATCAGTCCCGTCTCTAAAGATAAAGTCAACTTTGTGATAAAACGTTTAATGATATGAAGAACCTAGAAACACTATTTTACCGTAATTAAGTAAAACGTGAGAACTTGGGATAATTGCTGAGGAAACATTATGTTCTACTGCGTTCAAGAACTGCGCACCAGGAGTTGGTATTTTTTGAAAAAGTTTATTTTTTTACTTACTGGCTCTGGGCCTGTGGGCCATGCAGCCAATCACAAGGATTAAGATTTAATGGACTAACAAAGGTGTTGATAACAATAATATAAATTGATACTATTAAGATCCTAACGACTGTGAAACAAAGAGGAGAGCGAGGAGGGTAAAAAAATCTTCTCGTCAACGGGCCAATCATGGTACTTAGTGCACACAACATAGGCCACGGCAAAGTGGGTATAACATAAAGGGATAAAAACGGGGGAGCAACAGCTAAATCCGGAGTTTGTCTCTTTCAGAAAACTCATAATTCTGCCATAAATCATGTTGAAGATGTAGAAGAGACCTTATCTTCGCATGCTTTCTCGGAACTGTGACTGCTGACGAGAATATTTCTGACATTCAAAAAATATATGTTCATGAGTTCCTGGTACATTGCAGTCTTCACACTGACCGAATCAATAATACCAATTTTAGCTAAAAATACTGGAAAACAGCCATGTTTAAATCGCAGACGACAATACCTGCTGATGCATTTTCTTTGCGAAAAGGTCTGGTTAAGGGCACTTTCCTCTGCTGACAACTTCACAAAAACATATTGCCCAAACACCATCATTTTCGGAAAACATACAAAAAGTGTTTGGGGTGCGCTATACACAGCCTCTAATGTCTGTCGACGTCAGCAAATAATTTACATGTACCTATAACAAAATATTCGATCTTCATTACCTAGGTAGAAAGTTTTGTTAATGGCTCTGCCGATAAAGGACTATGACCTAACACTTTCTATGCAAAATGTTGCTCTTAAGCTCTATTATATCCGTCTTTTCTATGTTCACCCAGAAAAGGTGTTAGATTAACTGACCCAACTTTTCTGCGCTTACACAAAAAAAGAGGTTATGACTAGCTTCCGGCAACTCAGTTAGAGATGTGAGGCTCATAAGTGGCAAAGGTTAACAATTTCATGGTGAGGGGAGAGAAAGCAGAACAGAACGAAATTGCTTTGGGGGCTGGTTGTGCTTTGGGAACGGATAGGCACAGGCGATCCTGGGCTTTCCTGGTTTTACGGTTTTAGGGTGCTACGTTAAAATTGTAACGTTTTATTCATTGCGCAAAACATTGTAAATAAATTGTCACCTGGAAGACAAGCATACAATAAGGAGAAATTAAAGCATATAGGTGGTTTGATTCGGCCAGACAATGGAGTCACACGAATATGAAATCCACACAGGAGTTACAAGTTAAACTTTGATGAATTTTATTGATCAAGGGCGTTTTAATTACATTTTCGATCATAGTTACATAAATAATATGCAATTTTTAGCAAACATCAGACAGAGCAATATCAACAAGCCGATTGTAAAAGAGGCTGGTGTAGGCTCTTTGTTGTCGCATGTGAAAAGGAGGAGTCACTACTGAAAGTTCCTCGACTTACATGATCGTCTTGTAAAGTATGACACCGTGAAGGTTAGTTATTTTCGAAAATAAAAAGAGTGATTCAATGAAAATCAAAAAATAGTTCATTATATGACATTCTGGAAGTATGCGTGTACGTTCGAGACGTGGAATTTAGGGTTGAGAGAGAACCAATTTTATAGCAGAATGATAGAAGTTTATGAAATACGGTTTTTATAAAAAAAACATGTGAATATATCTGGAATTTGAAATAAATGTAACGCAATATTCTTCAATTAATGTTATTGATAAGAGACCTAACATACATCCAGCACAATATATGCACAGACGTACATCTATTCATCATTAGTTAGATTGGCCTACATATACCACCTGACCGTTTCAGTTCTTTATGATCTGTTGGATCATTACTGGACACCTTTACGTTAAGTATCCTTCTAAGTTCCACATCATCACCCTCTCATCCTCTCCAGCACTGCTGCTGGTGTAGTGCCTTCGGTGGTAGTAGGTATCAAGTAGCTCTTCGTATCGTTTCCTCTTATTTATGCCAACCGGTGATAATGCTCCAATCATTTGCTTTTAAGTATCTTAGCTCTGGAAGAGTAGTTTAAAGCTATAAAAATCTTGTTGCCATGAGCAGCCATCTCCTTGATACCATACCTTTAACAAAAAATAAATATATAAATAAAAATAAATATTCAGGAGAAACGAAAAAATGGTGGAAAATTAATCGAATTTCTAAAAGATATTGGTAATCAATCGCAAAAATACACAATTCCTAAGAAGACTTTGGAAAACAATTGGTTAAATTAAATTAAAAATTACAATGAAAACTAGCATGTCTGTTAAATGTGAAACAGATAGGCACAGAATAGGCACGTACTGAAATAGTTGCTTTAATACAACTAATGCTGTCTTGATTGGAAAGCTGACCTTATCCTCAGTAATACTACAATGATTGACATGTTGCTTGTATGTCGGTTCAGCTTTCAGTTATATTCACTGGTCACATGAGATGTTTTTTATTCGCATACATTGTATAACATTGTTGTACACAGAATCATATCAAGTTCTAGAAGTTCTTATACTATAAATATCAATATTAATTCCTGAACATTTAGAAATGATGACCTTCATACACCACTGTTAATTACATGTACACTGTATGATATCTCTGATCACGTTAACTTATCACAGTGTTTATGTCCGCAAATTGTACTATATAAAAGACAAGCAAACGCACATCAGGCAAACATCAACGCAATGTTCATGGATCAAATTATAGCTGGATATATTTTATGCTGGAGGACTACATAACTCGATAACTACTGTTCTCTAATAACAATCGCAATGAAAAGAGATCTACCAAATAACGAAGAATGTATGTGATTTGCATAAAATGATGATCAATAAACCAATAAGTTTAAAAAAACTAGAAGAAGAAAGTATTATTAATAGTTCCTCCGAAAATAGAAATAAAGAAAAAGCTGTTACACAATTCATTACCATATTCAAAGTTCACTTTTACATCACACGTGAAAACACCCTAAAATATCATAACTGATCGTCCATCGACCTTTGAATTTACATATTATCTATAAAAGTAGATATCAACATTATCCGCTGTTTTCTTCTTTGCCAAACAACTTTCTCTACTACGATGCTATAAACGTAGCGCATCCAGCTGGCCGTGAACTTAACCTCGTCAACGCTGTTGCACCGGTATAGTCCAAGAACCAGCCGCTAGACCGAGTTACAGGATGAAACTATACCCGGTCAAAATCCAAGATATTTGAACCGAATATACCGGATTATTTTTTAGTGTGGAAACGGTCCAATGCTCCTTTGTCATAAAAGATATCTAACAAGTTATTTACAAAAATTATAGGTAAATATACGGTTTTTAGTTAGAAATATGCCGCTGTCTACAGAGTGATTCAAGACTAGGTGGCAACACAAAAATAATTTTTATATATAAAATGCCCTGTATAATTTAGTGTATTCTGAACGGCGCCTTCGAAGGAAAAAGTCCGGCATAGCATATTCAATCATTTTGATCACTTTTCTGGAGCTACTGAATGTTTTGTCTGAAGAAATAGTCACATTCGATAGTTTGTAAGATAGTTGCTTTTCCAGCTGGAGTATCGCTGAGCTTTATATGTTATATACGTAGTTTCTCCACGTGCAACTGTTTTTTAAATTCTATGCATGAACCCAAGCGTATTGGGATAATGTAGATGACTCTATATTATAATACTCAAAAAAAATTGATATTGTGTCGTTCTGTAAAACTGCGTGACTGTTTGCTTGTTCAGTAAATATTGTTATTGACTTTTATGCCTGTATATGTCAGTCTTTCTTGTTTAAATGTTTCATACCGTCCACAACCATCAGATATTCGTTGCCCGAACAAGCCTATTATCAGGTTGGGGGTTAAGTTTGATTCTACAAATGACTTTTTTGCACAATTGCAGCTCAATTTTATCGATAACTTTTTTGCTTTAGGACACGAATCATCTGCAGATTGTTTAAACAGACTTTATCCTTGATGAATCTACGCAGAAAACTGTCAAGCGGGATTAGACTAAATGAAGCTGAATAGGATTTGTTTACTGTTTGTCTCTGTGACAACCGTATACAATGGTGTTCCATGCTTTTCAGTAACCATCAGTTCGGTATTTATTAGTGCCACGAAAAGCCTATATTTGTGGTTACGCCTGTCCTGTCATTAACCGTTCCAATAGCGTCATTTCCATGAAAAAATGAAAGTGAGTTCCTTGTCGTAGAATGATCCATATTCAATCCTCCAGATGAAAACTATGACAAGTTGTTCGCCAAATTCATTCCCGAAGTACCTACATGCTTCAGTGTAGGTACTTCCGTTATCGTTGCGACTCACTCTCGGACTAATTTGCTTTTGTTGTCGCACTAAACACTTTCATTTGTTTCATTTTTGTTTGGCATTTCGCATTTGTTAGAGGACCACACGGTTATTTTCCTTAAACGATTTTCGCTGCTCAGTGAGTGTGAAATGTTTAAAAAATTGAGGAAGTGTATAACGAAATATGAAACATGTAGTAGAATTCATTCAAGCAATATTGTGGTTCATTGTTAGTAATGAAAATGTGGTCAGGTAGATTGAATCTTATAGCGTCATGGGCATTTCGGTATAATTTCAAGGTTGGGAAAAACGACAGATCATGAATATCTAGATACCGTAAAGATGTTGATTCAAGTTTTTAATTTGTTAAGACCAGCCGACCTAGGCAAAAACTCTTCTGTACATTTTCGAAGCGCCAGGAACAAAATAGTCGGTTCATTCTCCAGGTTTATTCAATTTATTATGCTTGTGTTAAGGGCACCAAAGTGATCATACGGGTGAATATACGGTATTTGGGATTTAAACTTTCCGTCAATAAAAATCTTAAGCAAATCGGAAAATTGTGGAAATTGATAGACCCGCCTACTTCGGCCTCCCATCCTAATTGTATCGAACTTCGTACATCCAGAACTGGCCGATACGTGAGCTCATTTGTACCTTGGGTGTCGAGATTGTGTGTCGAACAATCTACAAGAGAATGCTTTTTCCAGTTCTACTAACCTCAGACAGTTCAAAAATCTTATTAGTTTCTTTAGGATCCTCATAATAGGCGCTTTGTCCTAGCATTTAGGCTTCTACCTAGTGTGAAATATCATGCTTCGCTTGGAACATATGATGAAGTTACGGTAACCATCAAGATTTAGGTACAATGCGCTTGAAAATTAACAAAATGTATACCCCTGGCGACCTCCATTCTCGACTATGACTACAAATATTAACAAATTTCTGTACATGTAATTGCTATAACAGTAGCCGAATACTCTTTGTACATTAATCTAATAATTAATGTATCTTAATTTTTCATGTCAATTGTTTTTTACTCTTCTCCTTTTTCTACTTTCTACTTCTTGATATCTTCACAATCAAAAATATCATAAACAAAGAAAGCAACGGCTGTGACCCGTTATCTTTCAAACACAACCGTTACTCTGGGGGCCTGTAAGCTCCAAGTCTAAACGATTCTTTTGTTTCAAGACCGACGGAACTGAAGACCTTTTTCAATTGAATTTCTTTAGCTAATAGTACTTTTGTCACGTTTAAGGTATCTTTCCCCTAATACCTATAAAAGCTGCCAAAGTCAAAATGATGATACTGTCAAATATGTATCACATGTCATACTTGTATAGTCTTGTGACATAAAAACAATTCGACATAAAAAGAGAATCTGAGGACTGTATTCTTTCAGAAATCAGTAGATCATTCACCATCTGCTGGTAACGAAAAGCTTTAGCAGCATGTTAGGAAGTATAATTTTGTAGGAATTTCCTTCAATGAGCCGCTCCAAATATTGGACAGCATGCGTGCTGATGACTATGCTCCTCCTCTATCCTCATTGTGGGGAAGCTTCATACGATTCATATTTTTCTACATTAATCCTACTGACACTAGTACACATGTTCAATCGATGCCCCAACATTTCAATAACTTACAGATATAGATTTTGTCCGACTGCCGCAAGTCACTCTTCGATATTTAAAATTTTTTAATTAGTCCATGATGTCCATGTCTAGCGGATACGGTGGGTAATCTGCTTGTAGTAGGGCAGCCATAGCAATGCAGGAGGTATGGCTAGGAGTATTATTTTCATAACACGCAAATTAGCACATGTTTTCTTATGATTTGATCACTCGTTACCGGTACAGATCGACCACTACCGTGTTGTTCTTTACAAAATGTTCTTCCGCTCTTTATTTTATTTTATTATACCATAAGAAACTGCACACCTTGCAACAGTCACCACAACGTTTTGGTGAATTTCAGTTCTCGTCATCCCCATTTGATTCCCACACCAATAAACTAACATCAAAAATTGAGATATCAACTACCTAGTCCCTTAAAAGTGCCCACCACCTCTTTTTCGCCCTATAATTTTTTTTAAAAATGATCAGTATCCCTTGAAAGGTCAAAAACAAAGTTTGAGATTCTTTATTTTTTTTGTTTTTGACTTTTTTCTCCGCTGCCACTGAACCAATTTTCAAAAACTACAACTCTTTTCCAGCCTTGGCATAGTAGTACCCTTATGTAAAAATTTCATCCAAATCCTAACAATACTTTCCAAGTTATAGTCGTGCCAAGGTTTAAAGGACAGACAGACCGACAAACAGACCGACGGAAATGAGTAACAAGGTTTCGTGATGTACACCTCATATAACGTCAAAAAAACATAATTTACCATACTTCCTCACCAGGAGGAGAGGAAAGTAAAATGATTATTTTTTCAGTTGCCTCTGTATTAGGGTAAAGTTTTGAAAACAGTGATCTTGCCAGACTTTCTCATCCATGTTCTAAGTTTCCCTTTAAAGAAAAAGTCGTTACCAGTTTGCTTCTCTCCAACTCACCCATAAAGATCAATCAGCTAATCTAAATGCACTCATGCAGAGTGCTGTCATCCATAATTATATTCATCGTGTCGGAAAATAAAAGACTATTTTCGCAGCGAATTATCTAAGCTCTTCTCAAAATCAATTTTAAAAGCCTCTCCCATAAAAAATAGGGGATAAAATCACATTAACTGGGACTACTTCTGCAAATGTGAATATCAATAATTATTCTTTTCTGC